CCTGGTTTAAAATCAAGTATTCCGCTTCATGTATTAGATATGAAAAAAATTCAAATCATGTAAGTTAATAACTTCTAGTTCTCGCACAATAAAACTGTCTCCGCACTTAAGTAATAAATTCACCAATTAAATAAATATTCCACAATTAAAATAATTAAAAACATAAATTCCCATCACAAATGACATAAAATAAAATTTTTATAGACATTCTATACATACTACGTGTATGTATGAATGTGAACTTTGTAAAGTTCAAATGCGTTATATTCACATCGCACGTTCAATTTTGATGGGACAACTAAATTTAAGCTAATAAATTTTGCCACATTTTATGTTAAATTATGACACGACAAGTTTCCCGAATTCAGGTAAACACAACAAACAGCTCGTTATTTAAGTATTTATAATAGAAACGAGAGCGATAAGCAATGTTTGGAAATGAGCTAAAGTAGCAAACAATTAAAGAAGAAGCCACCGGCTGACCAGCTTGATGGAAATACTAATTACTACTACGCATAAACAAAAAATCAACTAACGAATATTGGCATTAGCTTTTGTCATTAGATCCTACTAATGACGAATTTGCTCAAAGTGTACACATGCATACATATTAAGGTGGTTCCTTTTAATTACTAATTATTTTTATATATTTACTTTTAGTTTTATAATTTATCTGCTCATACTTAAATAGAATAAAAAGATCAGGAATGCATAAATTTTTGATAGGAACATAGGACGATCTAAAGAGCTACATCTGTTACCGTTTCTGAATAAATCAATATGCTCCAGCGATATCAGTAGGTTTGCAGTCGCGCTCCTGAGGACAGTACTGGCAAGCCGTTAAACGGGTTGAGTTCGCCGAAAGGGTGGCAGCCCTAGAACGAATAAAATCCGAGTTAACTCTGGTGCGTAGAACCGGCTGTAGTGAGAGTTGAACTATGCTGCACGGACCTGGTCGCCGGAGACGACCGAAATGCAGATGAAGAAGTTACAGGCTTGCCAGTACTGTCCTCAGGAGCGCGACTGCAAACCTACTGATATCGCTGGAGCATATTGATTTATTCAGAAACGGTAACAGATGTAGCTTTGAAACATTCACCATAGAAGCATATTTTTGGCATCAAAATTTATTACTTCGATACCCTTCTGGATCGACGGATGATATTTATAATTTTATGGACTTTTCATTTAGATTTCTAACTATTTCGTCAAAATCAAAACGCCTTATAGAAAATTTATTTAAAATGAGTGAAATAACTGGACCAACATCTGAATGGGTTTTCCGAAATACGGTCGTACTTGGGTAGAGATTTAAAAAGATATTGAAAAGAGCTTTGGGAATTCAAGCTAAGTTGACCAGTGCTTTCCATTTTCCCTACTTCTCAGCACAGTTATATGTTGCCATTGGCACAGCAGCGCAATCACATAACCCCTAAAAGTTATTCACAATAGTATAGTTCCAGAACACAAATATTACCATTATGTTATATCCCATCACAGACTGTTTGTTGTACATTCAAAGGTAATACTTAATAAAAGCCATACCGGTCGAATGTGATCTCGAAAGTTCCTGAAACAGTACTTAACTAATATTGGAACAGTTCTTAATAAGGCCTGAGAAGCTAATTGTGCTTAAGAAGCAGCATCGCTATAAAACCCAAGTTCGATATTCACAAGACGTAGCATCAACGAAATTTGCATTTACAAAATCCACTCTTTATATTAACAATTTTTGGACTTTTTACTTCATAAACAAGTTGATATCAACTTTAATTGTGGAAATGTGAGTAAAAACGTAAACAAAAGGGCTCACATAATTTCAACCGGGTGCAACCGGCTCTCTGAGATGCAATAACAAAGTCAACAATGCAAGACTACGTGTAAATACAAGGAGACACTACAGATTCGACATATTGCAATTACAATATTTTGAGAGCAAACAAACAGGCTTAAACAGTGGGATCAATCTTTCAATAAATATTTTTCGGTTTACCGCTTATGCTTGCGCCTAAAGTGTGGCCTCTTTATGTGGAGAATAGATTTTGAAAATTACTTTTTATTGCTAACTAACACTCTTAGTCGATTATGCTTTAAACTCAAAGCTTAATATTAGTATGCCTTCTAAAGTAATAGCTTACAATTTAAAATTGCTTGTGGCTTATGCAAGAACGAGATTCACAAAAGTTCGGTCAGTTGCTGACATTCAATTCATTTTTGTTAAATCTAAAAATACCAAATCCTTTGCAATAACCTTATTAGTCTGCCTTTCAAATTTTAGAACAATCGGCTAAAATGGAGACGAGAAAACGCAAGACAGCTGAGGTTAGGTCAGACGAAATTCCACAACCAACGCGAACAGAAGTTCGACCAAGACCAATGCAAATAATCGACCAATGCCAAGTTGCATATGGAACGATTGCAACGTCTTTAAAGACTATTTCCAAGTGGTTCGAAAGATTCCAGACCCGACATTTTTCCGTAGAGGACGAGCCTCGAGAAGGTCGACCAAAATCTTCCACTGATGACGTCACTGTAGCTCTGGTGAAGATAACAAATAACTAAGACCCACCATTAACACAAGAAATGATTACTAATGAATTGGGCTTGATTTCCATGGCTGCATCGTGAGTATTGAGTAATCATTTGAGATACGCGAACAAATCTGCTCGATGAGTACTACGAGTTTTAAATGAGGACAGTTGACTTCACCCGATCTAAAATCGTGGCTACTATTCCACCGAAGAATGATTACCAAAAAGTTTGAAAAAATTTGTTGGAAAACAGGAGGAAAGAGGATGTGCGGCGCTACTTTTTAAAATCATGAGAACGCTCCATCCTACTGGGATCGAGAAAAATGTATCCTGTGCCATATTCCCCGGATATAGCACCGTGTGATTTCTGGTTATTTCCAAAGCTTAAATAAAATAAAAGGAAAGATATTTAAAAGCAACGAGGAGGTAATTAATGTCGTTCATGCTGAACTTGATAAGCTTAAATAGCAATATTTTGAGCACTGTTTTCAAAAGTGGATCTATAGGCTTATGAAATGCTTTGAAATCAACGGCGATTATATAGATAATGTCCAAACTCCAAACCTTGAAAAAGGATGAGAAAAACAATATCTTCGCACATCACCCCTTCGTCGATTTTGAAGCAGCCTACGGAAGCACGGAAAGTAACTGTATCTGACTCTATATCCGAATTTGGTATCCCCGCAAAACTTAAACGGCTGTGTAAAATTGTCATTGTACAAAAGTTTCTTCAGTGTCGGAATGGACCTTCTCAGAGATTCGCTGTTTTGAGACAAATATAATATATAACATTCTACGAGAGCGTCTAACTTCTGGTATTAACTCATTATATTAGTTCATATTATTGGATGAGGATGCGAAACAAAAATATCTGAACGAGTAAACGAGTACGTGATAAAATCTGTGACGGCTGTCATAACTAACTTTACACTCGTAGATAATTTCGCCAATCTTATTCACTAACAACAATACTAGTCTCGAAAGTTGACGCAGAATCGCGCTTGTCAACAGGTGCTACTTTGGACTGAGTAAGCAGTTGCAAAGTAAACTTTACAAGTCATTCATCATTACCGTCCTGGTATAAGGCGCGGAGACTTGGATGATGAGTTGGCATGAAAAGTTTCTTGAGAGAAAGGTATGAAATACGGTATTCTGCGTAAGGGCGATGACGTATACTGCAGATGATGACACAATGAGACGTAGATTTGATAATCAAGAGACAGCGGCTATGATGGATATGGTAAGTGTAACTGCAAACCTATTCGATATAGTGAACAACAAATGTCCTCACTTAATATCTCCAAATTGCGTTAAATGACGAAAAAAATAATAAATGTGTTATTGTTAAATCGGCTTTAAACGAAACAGGAAGAGAGACATAATATTTTATAGCACAGCAAAAGATTGCCAAAATTATTAACCGCGTCTGATTTCATCTCAGGGATCTTAAAATTTTGGTAGATACGAATATCTGATGGATAATGGATTAATTAATTTTAAGTCTATAATTAGCGCCTTGTAACCTCTGTAGCGATTTATATAATCCAGTAATGTTTTTAATAAAAGTTCTCAGGTTGAGATTGAATTTGTTAATACACGAGAGCAACCCACTGTGCAGCATCATCTTTAACTGACAGTAGCAATCTTATAAAAAAAAAATGAATAAATATGAGAAAAAAAGCGATCATTAAGTAAATTTAAGCCATGTCTACATGAGCTAAATAGTCGTTAAACAGTACTAAATAAGACGGCGTGCGCACTGCATTCAATTATGTAAATGAAACAACCAATTTTGATAAGATGGGCTAAAAATGTGTTTTTAATATTTAATACAACTGCAGAAATACATAAAATTACAAGTAAATCACTGTGCCAATTCGAATTTTAATAAAAACGAAAACATCAATAAAATTAAATAGCAAAATTAATGCCTATTTCTACGAGCGAAATTAAGCAAAAAATCAGCTAATTCAAATATGTTAATTATATAAGCAAATGCTAATTTTCATTCGGAATCAACTTAATTAATTAGCACTCAATCACACCAATGAAATGAGGAATGCGAGAAGCGAGAAGCGAGAAGCGTTCCGCGAAGAAGCGGAAGCGCGAAAGCATAGATTAATTCGCGCATGCGTAAATATGTATACGACGTATCGTACATGCGACCATATAGTCTCGTATATATTTATGTTTGTTCTTCCGTGGTGTAAGTTCAAGCAGTGCTAGTGATATTTGTTGTTAGTCATGTGTTAAACGATTAGCCATTAAAAGTTCTACATATTCAGCAAGTTTGACAATGAACTTGAAATTTGTTGGACTGAATTCTACATTTTATCTCACACAAGCTTTAGCTTTTCATAATTTGAACATTGGCAGTTGACTGGATAGCGCCACGGTGTGAAGAAGTGAAAAAAAAATTAATTCAATAATTTTAAATATTTATTTTTTTGAAACTTACTGAACAAAAAACAACAACAAACAAGATGAAATATAAATGAAATTTCTTATTTTCGAACTTTGTGATCTGTGAATAAGCCCAGTGAAAACTAGAATTTTCTTTTTATGTGTGATCATTGCACTTGATTTGTTGTAATAATAACCACACATCCAAACGTGACCAAATAAAATAACACCGTTACTTAAGGGGTGTGTTGTATTTTTCGTGTAAACGTCTTGCCATAATGCACTTGAACATGCTAAGTTGTCATCTCTCATTGTTATCAACACTCCTACTGACGTTCACTTTTCCAGTTCGTGTTTGTGGTTTAAATACGGTCATTTCTAAAGATCTAATTTGCCAAATAATCACTTCGAATCAATACACCTGCGAACGACATTTAGTACGAACTGCGGATGGCTATGAACTGACACTTCATCGTATACCGCCCAAAAATACCACACACAGCCAGCTGCAGCCACCCTTCATTCTAATGCACGGCCTCATAGGCTCTGCTTCCGATTTTTTGTTACCTGGTCGCAAACGCTCACTCGGTTGCATACTGCATGAGCAGGGCTATGATGTATGGGTGCCGAATTCGCGTGGTACGACTTACTCTAAACGACATCTACACATGGATTCGTCAAATGCGAGTTTTTGGGATTACTCCTGGCATGAGATTGGTTATTATGATTTGCCGGCTATTGTGGATTATATACTCGAGACAACGGGTCATCAGCGCTTACACTATGTAGCTCATTCTCAAGGGTGCACGGTTTTCTTCGTCATGCTCTCGGAGAAACCAGAATATAATGAAAAAATCGTTTCTGCTACTTTGTTGGCGCCTGTGGCATTTCTGGCAAATCTACGTAGTCCGCCCTTCAGAATAATGGCGGCGAAAATTGAGGAGATCGAGGTTTGTTATGTTAAAAATAAATATAAATAATATAAATATCTAAATGATTTCATGAACAAAACACAAAAAAAATTATAACCTTCAATATTTCAAAAATTGTCATTATTTATAAATTCTTCACAAATTAAGCAAATGTATATACATATATACGCATAGCTATAAAAAATATTATACATACACGTATGTATGTCTATTGTACAATATTATAAAGTTATTTAATAGCAAAAATTATTTTTCAATTTTCTTATGGAGTCTCATTTATCTGCTAATGTCTTAAAATTTATTTAAATATATTCTTCTATTCATTCTAGCACACTCATACAAGCATACTCTTATACTCAATGTAATTTCTGCACACATAATTCATTGTTAATCCTTATGGCGATACGACTATTATCCACAATATCGCTCTTAACTTCGAGTTAAGAAAAAAAAAAACGAAAGCAAGCATAAATTTAACGCCATTTCTAGCTCCAACACATGTACATATGCTTTATTTTTATACGCGCAAAAAAATTTTCAACTTATATCAAAGGACAGTATTCGTCGGTTTCGTCCCAAGAGGGTACAATAATTGAAACTCTTTCTACCAAAAATTATTTAGTTGCATTTAAAAAGGCTAATATCTGAAGTGAAACTGAACAGCTTAGTTCCATTGGTACAACAACAGTTCATATCATACAAAAAAATGCGGACCATGTATAACTATTACCAGTCAAATTTATTTCAAAGTATGCATACAAGTTTCAATGTAATCAGTTTTAGTTCGCATACAAAATACCTTGCTTGGGGTGCATTCCATATCAAATAGCATAACCCCTTATATTTTTTCATTTTACAATTTTGTCTTTATCCGCCTTTCCGACCTCTCCAAGCCGTTCGGTATCAAACGAAGCTTCAGAAAATAATAAGAACTGCAAAGATCAAATTCTACAGTAGTTCATAATTTCCGGGAGAAAGACTTATGGGAAAATTAAGTGGAGAAGACGCTGGAAGGCTCCTAACCTACAGATTTGAGCGAAATAACCAGTTTAACAACAAAAAAAAACGGGAGAAAATCTCGAGCGTTTATTTATAAATATATATTGATCATAAACGAAGACTTTAAGCCAGAGATCGGAATAAAAAAATAATTATCAAGCTCAAATAAGTTAATATAAATAAAGGGTGCAAATGTTGACCATGACTGCACCTCAAATGGTCCATCCGCTTAGTCCGATTTTGGCATACTCTTTCCGGCATTTCGGCGTTAAATCGCACGATCTAAGCGGTCAATTTACCGGTCCCGAACGTGAAATAAATTTCACCGAGCTCGCCTCTCAATAAGTCCATTGTTACGCGTACTGTGTGGCATGTGGCACCGTCTCGTTGAAACCACATGTCATGCTGGTCAAGCTCTTGCATTTTGGCGAAAAAAAGTTTGATTTCATCTCACGGTAGCGCTCACCATTGACAGTTCCATTATGATTCACAACATCTTTAAAGAAGTACGATCCAGTGGTGCCACCAGCCCATAAACCGCACCAAACTGTGACTTCTTCTGGATGCATTGGTAACTCTTGCAATACTTCTGGCTGATCTTCACTCCAAAATCGACAATTCTGCTTATTTTCGCACCCTTAAAGCCAAAAATGAGCTTCGAAGCGCGCGAAGCGAAGCAAGCGTTATTCGTTTGTAAGACGATTCGTGGCCAAACTAAAGATGTTTGACAGTGACACAAAGCACGAATCGTTCGTCAGCTATTTAAGCCAGTGTTGCGAAAAAGATAATAGCTAAAAAATCACCCTTTATTTGATTGATAAAAGCTTTTTTTATTTTATGAATACTTAATTTGGACATGAAAATTTTCGATACTTTGGGAATTATATATTTTCAATAGAAAATAATCGTTGAGTTGGGGCTTAAATTTTTTCATCACAATTGGTCGATATTTTATCATAATCATTATATAAGCAATATGCATATTGTCATTCAAATTATTGAAGTTGTCTCCGAATTTTCCTGCAAGAAATTGTAACGCATATAGACAGAAGAGTCTCATTTCCGGCTTACTTGCTTCGGAAGAAATGGAAAAAAGTACTTCTTGCTCTTCAAATATTCGAAATCGTTAGTAACCACAACCATTCTTTCCATAATAACCATTAACTGAAAGTCCTTCCGAATACTTTGCCTTCAATCGCTGACAAGTCCTTTGATTATTATGAAAAAAACAATCAAATACTTTCATTAAAAAATTAAGCAATAAATAATTTGAATTAAAAAAATATAAAATAATACACACACATCTCATCTACATATTGTATATTTTGAATTTTTTGGTAGCTATGAAAATAATTCCCCGCACACAGTTTGAATGTGTTGCATTTATGTGAAAATTGCGTGAATATTGAATTTCTTTCTCACTTTATGCTTTTGTACAATTTCCGGTCTGTCTCCTCTACATCCGGATACCCATGCCTGGTACTCGATTATATTATGCGAAACAATTACAACCACTGCTCACAATTACCGCTATGCTTACGGACCAACGAAATAACCCCAACTACCATACAACATTCACCTGGAAAATTTGGTTTCCATGCCATGAACGGCGAACTGTGCAACCATGCCAATGAACAACAATACGCACGCACACTGCATGCCTGCATACACGTATACAAACTCATTTACCCCGCACGACTCGTAGGTGCTTCTAAATCATTTGGGATTATACGAACTTTTTCCATCGACCGCCCTAAATCAACTGGGCGGACATCTGCTATGCAGCCAAGATGCGCCCACACAGAATCTCTGCCTTCTCTTTACCTTTCTCACGGTTGGTTTTAGTGACTTCGAAATGGATCGTGTGAGTATGAGCTTAAGCTAGTATTATATGAGAATATCTATATATATATGTATATATACAATATATTGTATATATATATGAATTACACCTCGTGCTTTGTACAAGGTTATTGTAAATTTATTCGTCCGATTCGTAACTTTAACATAACGTATTTTTTAACGACGAACCCAGCGTTACCCACCTCCCACCCAACCGACCAATGGGCGCGTCTGAGGGTAATCGAAAAATCCAACTGCCCGGAACCCGGTTACACTTGCCTCTTACACTAATCAGCTACAGATTTTTTCACCAGCTGCTATAAAATTGCATGGGGAAAGGGAGAGGGAATTTAATTAATTATTTAAAACACTAAGAAAGAAGGGTTGATACAGAAAAGCGAGTCAGATGAATCAATGTTGGTGAAATGTGTGTTAAACTCGTTACACAAAGATCCAAAAGGGTCGTGAATTTTAAAGTGTATTCTGCATGAGCTCAATGAAAGGGACCTAAAGTCTCTAGATAATCTCAAAGGGATGGTAAAGTTAAGCTCGCTGTATCATATAGGCAATTAAGTGACATACAGTTCGCATCGCTCCACCTAACTAAATTATTTAGGTCAGTAGAGGAAAAGCTTTCTATCTTCAATAGAGCGAACTGATTTAAAGAGCTTGACATTATCTGCGTACATGAATATTTTATATTGAAGAACCACATTTGGAGGGTCATTGGAGAATTTAAGGAATAGTAAGGAGCCTTGTGGAACGCCAGATGTTATTGTTATTTCACGTGATATACAATATTTAAAAATTACTTTTTTTTTTTGTATGATGAAATCCACTTGAGAAGGGAAGATGGAAACCCGAAGTGATCGAGTTTATTGGTTTGCACTTGCCCATTTGTTGGATCTAACCAAAATGAATAATATCATGGAACTCATCTTAGGTTGGAATTGAATGCTGCACAAATTGCTGAAATTCCAGATTAATTTACGGGTTCTTCAATTTAACGGAACCTAAATGATATTTCAACACATTACCAATACAAGTTATGCACCTGTCAACTTGTAAAAATTGTGCATAAACCACGCCCACATTTGTCCGAATATCTATAAAATTGTGAAAACTCAGCAAATTAAAATAAAAATAAAAACTTAGATCTAGTAATAGTAAAGATAGGGATTCCCCTAGGCGAGTGTATTTCTCAAATCAAAAGCTCCTCATGATAATACTTCAGTTTCGACGAAGTGCCAATTATTAATTTGTTTCATAAATAGTTTGTTTATTTATTTATATATTTATTAAGTTATATATTTATTAATTTATTTATTTATTTATTCATCTATCTATTTATTTATTAAGTCTAGGGATAAGTTTTAAGCCGACACTTCACTTAAGGCCATAGGGGTTATTGCACAAACTATTCTTAATAACAACCCGGTGCGACCAAAATCCAAAAGTTATAAAAAATTAATTTAAATAAAAAATTAAGCTAAATTTTCTAATTGCGGTCGCCCATCGGCAGGTAATGTCAAGCTTTCCGAGTATATTTATGACATGAAATAAAAGCTCCTCATGAAAAACCATCAGCCGTTCGGAAAAACATAAAGACTCATAACACAAATTGGAGGGGCAGCTGCCGAAAATCGATTCAGCGATTCAGAAAAATCGAAATCTAAAGTATTTAAGAACTTATTGATTTCTTTCACTGTTCGTCAAATTGGTGCATTCATGCAATACATTATAGTGACAAAAGTAATATTGAAAAAATCGAAGTTAAGAAGATTTTTTAGCTGTACTATTTAAGTTAATCTTACCAAGAAGATCAAGACGGATATAAAATCCAATATGAATGTGATTGGCGAAAGTTCCCTTCTGTTTGCGAAGCATCGTTAGATTAATTTTCCCTGATATCGAAAAAATACGAAGGATTGGGTTCTGTAAAACTTGGAGGACTTAGAGCAAAGCAAGTAAAACGTTTTTGTATGTATTCCAGAAGATTTATATTTATGTTGTTCTTTTACTTCACTTACGGATTTAAAGTATTTTTTCGAATTATGATTAGAAGTGCACACACCATGAGGACAAGTTATTTAGGTCTACATGAAGCGCAGTCGAGTCATTGATATTTCTTATTACAGAGTAAATTTGTAAATCATCTACATACAGAAGACATAGTGGAACCAGTTTCAATGCAATTTATAAATAATCTTAAGAATAGAGATAGACAGTTCTCAGAAAAAACAGCGAGGTATGTAATTTTAGATTTTCCGGGCAAAAAACCAAGCTGATTAAAAAAATTATATGTTTTATTAAGACATAATTTGTTTTTAATGATGCATTCAAATAGTTTTGAAACAGAGATCGATTTCGAGGTGAGGCCAAAATTAATCATCAATAAAGATTCTAGTCGCAAGAGACTCAAAAATTGTCCCGAGAGAAGGCAACAAAGATGGGCAATTTTTGAATAGAATAATAAATAATCCCTCAATATCCGTGTGTGTGGAACTTTTTTAACACAAGGAAGCTTTAGCAAAAAGATGTGTTACTAGTACTTAGCTTATATACAACATTTGTCAGGTCACAATAATTAAGGAAATCGCAATATTATTAAAATAGACTGATATTGGTTTATTCGACTTTTTATGGCTGGAATTAATATTATGCAACAAGGGATTACAACAGGAACCATTCCAGTTGTTCGTTTTGATCTATTTCAGAAGCGGGGTAAATATTATTCAATTTCATTTTTTATTTTTATTTTTGTATTGGCCCTTTGTAACCGCTGAAGCGGTTTTTCAACTGAGCTCCTTCTCCAATTTGTGGTTTTGCATCTGATGGTGAGATAACAAAATACTCGGAAGTGCTAGCGTAAGAACTTTTTGAAATTATCTATCGGATAATGAACTAATCTTAAGCACTTAATACTTTTGCACCATTAATTACATTTATTACTTGCCTTTCCCTACTTTTGATCAAAAATCTCTGGCCGTCGCAATTGAAAAACTCAAGAAGTATTTCATATCTTGTTGAGAGCGACAAATCCATGGTAGCAATTTTTCGGTTTGCAAAATATTGCAGCCTTTCAAGCGTGCACAGATCGCAAAATTAAATATTCAATGATCTTTGTTCAAAATGTTCGCTCTTAATAATAATGGCTAACGCTTTTTTGAGGACAATAATTTGCTGATATTATTTTGTAAACGACAAGCTGTGCCTTCCCTGCGACAAAAACTGAAGAAGCTAGTATAGCATATTTTTAACGTCAGTCCTATTAAGGTATTAGATACATAATCATCTCAGTGATGCTTCTTTCGCTTCAATAACCATTCGAGGTTTAGTAAAAAAAAAAAATAGAAGAAAAACAGCAGCTAAACATTTGTCAAGATTTACTTAATTTTTTAAAAAGAATTTGGTATGATTTATACAACTTAAAATATTTCAAAAACAATGTAATAAATATTTTGCTCTCAGCTTTTAATTTACTTAATTTCATGTCCATCTAATCTAATGTTCGTTTCCAAACGATTTTAGCTCTTCCCAACTTATTTTATTTTAGATTTTAAATAAAAAAAATTCGTTGAATGAAGCGCAGGCTATCTAGAACTCCTACTTAGATACATAGCTAATCATACTCGTACATTTGTACATATAATATAACATATACATTTGCGCATATTAACGTACACGTATGTACGTACTGGAATCTAAGTATTAAAATGTTACAAAAAGTTTTCATTTCCCTCCATGACAATTTTGTGGGAGGTGATCTATTTCTTTTTATGCAACCATTTGCTTTGTTTAGTTTTACTGTTGTTTTTTTGTGGTTGCCTGTTAGAAAGTTGCCAAAATTTACATTTTTATGGATATAACTTTGAATTGCTTGGCAATCCGTGGTGCGAATGCACTTGGGAACTATAAAGTCCTAACAAAGGATACGCAGTTAGTGGGATACCTGCCCACTAAAAATGTCTGCGGATATAGAATTACACATATAAATATGTATGTATGTATGAGTAACATACTTGCAATCGGGGATATGTATCGAAATAAATTTTAGCTAGGAACTTTTAAAAAATGTTAATTGCAACGATTTCTAATGTAGCTATAAGAAAAGAATGTATGCATATAATTTGACTACTTTGGAGTTAGTTTAGTTAAGTTATTAGGTGTACGAATTAATTCGTTCAAAGTAGTGCCCATCGGAAGCTACGATGTTTGCCCATCTTTCTGGTAGTTTGTGGATTCCATCCCAAAAGAACTTCTCCGGCTTGGAAGTCAAGAAAGAAACCCTTTTCTGAACGTCTCTTGGCTTCAATTCATACAGCACCCAATTTCCAAGGTTCTGGATGAATCCTACTGATTTTAATCGTATGTAAACGGTTGCTTGATCAACTCCTAATACTCTTGGAAGTTCTTCTGGCGTCTGGCATGCATCTGCGTTGAGCAATGTCTCCAATTCTTCGTCTCGAAACTTTTTTAGCTATCCGGGTCGTTCTCCACTTAAACCACTTCTAGCACGTTCGTTCGGCAAAAGCTTGGTCACCATAAACGTCCAGTACAATACGATGTCTTTCGGTACCACTTTTCTTCATGTTAAAGTAATGAAGAAGAACTCCCCGCGAAAACACTTTATCTGGTACGAATTTCGACATTTTCAAATGAATGAAACAAATTGTTGTTCATGCTAAAACAAATGGCATCTACTGAAAGCGACGTGACACGAGATGACAGTACCTTTGAAATGAATATAGCCACAGCTGAACACGACGCGAAATAATACTAGTAGAACCCTCTCTTAGAAGACCGCACAAATTAATAAATACATTATTGCTTTTCTTCAAATTTCCAGAAAACTGAATAAACATTCTAAAAGCTTCTGAATCGATAAGACCACCCTAAATTAACTTTAACTCCGATTAACAATATTGTCCCACGAATGACTTGAAATTATTTATATATATATATTAAGAATAATTAGACCCAACAAAACTCGCGAGTAAATTCCACGCATGAAATAAAAGC